CGAGATAAAATTTTATCATATATTCTGAAAAATAAGAATTCAAAAATAAATCGTAAATTTTTATAATTTTTCCGGTATTTATCATTTAAAAAACTTAGAAACTTAGTGAACTCCAATCTTAAATTTTACAAAAAATTTTTGATTTGCGTCTGGATTAATTTATTTGACAAACTTTGAGTGATCTATATTCTATAGTATAATATATAGATCTACATTCTATAGTATGTATCTCTTGACAAGACTACACCTATCAGAAAAGATTGAAAAATAAAGAGGTCACCGTATTAGAATAGGAGAAATAGTGTTTGATAATTTTTAGAACTTCGAAAGATAATTTTTCCAAAAAAAACAAAGCAATAAAATAACTTGATTTGTCGTTTTAAGTAAGTCAATTAATTTGTCTATTTTAAAATTTCTATTTTCTCACATTTTAAACTAACAAAAACTGATTTGAATGATGCTAATAGAATTTTTTTTAACGCTAATTACGGTTATCAAAAATCCGACAATTACATAATACCAAATTACCTTACAAGAAATGTTGCTTTCAGAATTCTATTGCTATAATTTTGTCAGGAGAAAAAAAAAGAGAATACAGGATCTAAAACACAACTCGTCTTTTATATCAAATTGTGATTGGATGACAGCCGTGTATTTCACATGTCCAGCACCAGTTTGCAAAAATTAAGTAAAAAGGATTAAAAACAAATTTTAAATGTTTCCCTCCCCCGTCTCCACCCACTCGACAGTTGAGCTCGGTGAGAAGAAAAAAAGGATTTTGAACATGTACATTTCCTTTTCAAAATGTAATTATTGATATTGAAAGAAAAATTAGTTCATTGACTGAACACCTTCAAATAATATTTACTACTCATTTCAAATTAATTATGGTTTAATAATATGGCATCGTTGCCATAATTTTAAACCATACTGGGCGCATTTACATTTCCTTGAATAATTAGACGTATGTAGGAGAGTGGGAGGGAAAAAAACTGAATTGTTTTTTTAAATCTGTGCTTTTGCTTACCATAAATATTTTGGCTTCAGTTATAAATCCTTTTCTAATATGATGCATACTAAGTTCTACAATTGGGTATAATATAAAAAAAACACAACTACTTCCACTTAGTAGGAATAACATTTACCATGACGCAATGCTAAATTCTATGCCACTATCCACATAAATCAATTATTAATCAAAAATCGAATATCAATTACTTTTCTTTATAATGCAATAAAATCTGGCGAGCAGCTATTTAAACGATCAAACACTTCGTTTGTTTATTTGTGGCTTGAAGTTAGGCTCGTAGAAAGTGCCGTTCATGGGTTAAATTTAGTAGGAATAACACAACCTGTGACGTAAGCTATAGCATACCCAATCGGGTACTTGTAGAGCCTCTGATAGTATAGGAGCCTTAGGTACTTGCAACTAAAGGAAAAAAGGATCACTGATACACAGACACGTGACCTGTGATCTCATCCACAGCTCATTGTTTATAAATAACATGGCATGTTAAAGTCGAGCTAAGTTTTTACACATAAGTTAGAATGTTAATGAATTAATTACAACGTTGTATCACGCATTGAATACGTTAAATTATAATTTTTCCTTCTTCTCAATTTCTTTTGCTCAACTTAGATTTATTATTTGTGCATGAACTTTAATGTAACCGTGATTAATTTTGCTTTAAGTATTTGCTAACTTTGATGCTCTGTTAGTTTATGTCTTTCGTGGCAGTCTTTGTGTTAAGTAAGAAATAAATAGTGAATGAATTTAAATCTCTGGGAAAGAATCTTTCTGGAAAAATATAGAATGTGTGGTTTAAAACAAATGTCACGCTTTAACAATGTCACTAACAAATGTCACGCTTTAACAATCAGTCAGGGTCAAGACACCCACACCATGCCACTTGCAGGTTTCCCATTGGATATCTGCAAGCGACGCCATCGAGGGTATGGATCCTGATTGGCAGTTGAAACCTGGCATTTATTTATGTTAGCAATTGTTCTTTTTTATTTCCAGTAAGCGAAGCTCGTCAAACATGAAACGTGGCGCAAACAAGAAAGAATTTTATTTTAACAAGTTCGATGTGATGTGATATACGGTGTTGTATTTATTTACTTCTCGCTAATTAACGTAGGAGAAATTTAGATCGGCCTTAGCCATCAATATCCAGAATATTAACACTCCACCTTGTTTATAAAAACAACTATACTAAACTGCAATGTTTCTTGACAATGGAGAAATATGCTGAGGGCAAACGAAGAAAATAGTTCCCGGCGCGATGTCTGTATTTCGAGGTAAATTACGCATTTCACAATAGAAATATGATAAGTTATCTTAACCCACACATATATAGCGTTAATTTGCTATAATTTTCTTNTCAATTGAAAAAAAAATTACACAATAATATCAGATTTATTTATTCAAACATTTGAGTATTGTTTTGAAATAATTTGTTAAAAATTAAATTTTTAAATACATAAAATTATGTAAAAATTAAAATAACAAACTCATAAATCGAATATATTAAAATTCTATATTTTTTAATTTATAAAATTTCAGAATATAAAGTTTACATATATTTATTATACTAGATTACTTAATTATGATAACGTAAAATGAATCTTTAAATTTATTATAAGTGTTTCTGATAATTTGACCAATGATTTTCTAACAATCAAAGTGCCAAACAAAATGCTTAATCCGATTATTGCGCCAAATTGGAAGCTAGAAGAGTGTGACGTCATTTTCGATCCTGCTCCTTACAACCCTACGGCTGAACTTATTTCTCCTTCTTCCACCGCCAGCCGTGGCGTCATTGTCAAGAAACTTTGCATTCTAGTATAGCTGGAGCTGAAGTCATTGGTGAGGAGGTTGTACATCAGTGGTCTTCTTCTTCTCAGCCATTTATTATTTTCTCTCTCATTTAAATGCATAATTTTAATTTACATTTTGCTCTAAAAAAATACCGATTTTAATTCAACTAAATTTAAAAAAATTAAGTACTCAAAGAACAAATAATCATTTTGCAAATGGATTTTTTTTCCTTCAAATTTCTTCTTGTGAGTGAAATTTAGAGGACTATTTTGGGTGTTTTAATTTCGTTCTCCTTCTCAGAGTGGACATCTGTGATGCCCATGCAATGAAAGGAAGGATTTTTAATCAAGCTTGAAATTATTCTATTTAATAGCAAATTGCTTTTAAATGTTAAAGGTAATTGTTGAACAAACATCCACAAACAGGAATAAATCTCAAATCTGTCATTGTCTCAAATCTGTCAAACAGAAAGGAAAAAAAAATTTTTTTTTTTTTTAAATACAAATGAATCGAGAATGATACTAAATTGAAATTTGAAAATATGTCTGAAAATATTTGTAAGAAGTTGTACATCATTCACAATTTAAATTTTTTTTTCTATCATCAAAAATTTTAAAAATCACTTTCTGCTTGAGATAATTAAATTTTGAATATTAAGATATTTATGCTTGGTACTTTCAAGTTATCAATCAATATGCCTGATAAATTTTTTTTCAAGGAGTTAGTTTTCCAGCGATGCTGTTTTAAATAGAACTTTGTAAAGGAAATAATTTTTTTTTTTAAATCTGTTTCAGTTTAATAGCAACTTAGGTACTGTTTAGCGTGTCCTTCGGCTTGTTAGAGAGAAAAAAAATGAAACATAAAGTGAGAAAGAGAAGTTAAGCAGAAATTTCGCCTAAGTGTGTCAACTGACTCCAATATTCTGTTTCGCTAAAACCCATAGGGTCATATAAAGCTGCTAGCCATAACTCTCTTAACTACGTTAGATAAATGGACTCTACTTCAAACAAATTAAAACTAGATGCAATTGTGATTGGTTCATTCTGAAATCAATGCGATATAGTTCCGTAGTAAGAATACCTTATTTACGCTTCACTGGAGCTGCACAATGGGCTATTGGCGACGGTTAGGAGAACATCCCTGAGAATGATCAGAAGGTATATACGTCATCACATTTCGATACTCTGCAGAGGGAACGGTTGCCTCTCTTTGGTAGCCCGACGACCTGCAAGCAGTTCACGTTAGAACAGTTTAACGAAGGACCGATACCGCGCACCCTTGGTCTCTTCGCAAGCTGGACAAAGTGGTTACCCACCTTCTCGAGGATCACTGTCAGTGATGCTCCACTACAGTGTTTTACTGGAAATTGTGTCTTACTAATCATGCTGCAGAGAACCATTAATTTTACGTCAAAAATAAGTATATTTTACCTTTAAATTCGTAAAATTTACGTAAAACTGAAACTTTGTAGTATAGCAATAAATGGATATCTAAAAAACGTAAAATTCGTGTAAAAGTATACTTAAATGAACTCGTTTATTTTGTTAATGTTTTATCAACCCTTTTATACTAGATAAGAATGAGTACGTTATTTTTACATATTATTTTAACGGTAAATTTGCTTCGTCAATAATACTTAAAATACACGGAAGCATTTTACTAAATCTAAATAGTAAATTCACTTCGCCAATTTTATGTAAAATGTACAAAAATATTCTTACCGAAATAAAATGGTACATTAATTTTGTCAGTATATGCGGAATCTTTTATCGAAATCTAAACGGTAAAATATACGTCAACATTTATAAGTAAATGTACAAAAACTTTCTTACCGAAATTTAAATGATAAATTTGTTTGGTTAATAATACATAAAATATATGAAAGCAATCTTACCGAAGGGTAGTTTGCAAAATACGTTCTGTTAATATTGCTTAGAATGTACCGAAGCTGTTTAACTAAATATCTCAATTGTAATATCTTTCCAATATTACATAAAATTTATGTATAAAGCGTAATGATTTGACCAATTTCCCCAAATTTACGTTTAATTTGCGTATCATGCTACATGGGTATAAATCTACCATATTATTATAGTATAACCACTTATTGCCACCAATTTTGCAGTATTGTACTATAAAGTGATGTTAGAAAAAAATATACAATAAGAAGAAACAAAGCTTTTCTTTTAAAATTTCCATATTTTATTCACTCAAAAATTTCAATAAAATCACTATACTATGTAACATATAATATACAAATCATTCAATATGAAAATTATTCACAATAGTTATTTTTATTAGACAAAAGAATTTTTTTACAGATTGCAATAATTTTGTAAAAATCGCTACAAGAGTTGGGTTTTTATATATGACTTTCTAAGAGCTGGAAGCAACTTCAACATTTTTTTCCTTACAGGAAGCATGCAAAATATTTTATAATTACGTAAACAGAGAAAACACTTGTTTCAAATACAGAAAAAAAAATTATGATACAGAAAATATAAAGCAAAAGAAAATAGTTATGGGAAATAAAATGTTTTGAACACCAATAAAAATGAGTATTTGCACCAAAATGAAAAGTGTTTTTTAAAAACTAAATAGATTTGAATATTAAAAACTTTTCATTTGTGAGCAAGATATTAATAAATTGTAATATAATTCAAAATTAAATTTGAATGTATAAAATATAAATATTCATAGATTTCAATTCAATTTTAAGTTATATTACAATGTATTAATATCTGCTTTCATGAAAGCTGATATTAATACATTGTCATACAATAAAAAATTAACTTGAAGTGTATGAATATTTATATTTCATTAATTTGTATTTTATTTAAAGTTGAAATGTACATATTTTCAAGCGTTAGATAGTGTTAAAAAATACATTGAATTAGTCAATTTCAATGAAGATAAATATTCATACATTTCAAGTTAATTTTCGATTGTATGACAATGTATGAATATTTATATTTCATTAATTTGTATTTTATTTAAAGTTGAAATGCACATATTTTCAAGCGTTAGATAGTGTTAAAAAATACATTGAATTAGTAAACATCAATGAAAATAAATATGCGTACATTTAAAAATAATTTTGCCTTTTATTGGAATATATTAATGATTATTTTTCACAAATGTATTATTTTAAATGTAAAAAAAATTATTATGAGTTAAAAAAAAAACCTGATTCATTATGGCACAAATAAACATTAATTTCTATAGAGTCGAAATTAATTTGGTTTTCTAACACCAGCTGATGGGAGACATAACTTTTTTTAGTGTTCACGGAACAAATAGATTGTTTAGAAAATGGTCCTATTCAGACCATTTTCATCAAGAAAAATAATTAAATTGTTGTTGTTGACATCACTGAGTGAAATACAGGACATTGTTTTCTTGAATAGATTAACTTATCATTGGAGCAGAGCGGTCATTGGTTATCACTTTTCTCAGTTTGACAGAAGAAAACACATTCTCTCTGAAAAGAAAAAACAGTGCTTTTAAATAAGTACTTATTCTAATTATCATTTACATTTGTCAAATAAGTGAAGGAAATAAGCATATGAGCTACTGGAAAAATTGGAATGCTTTGAGAGCACACAAATTGGATGCCCATTATCAAGATCTACTTACACGTGAATGATGAAACTAAAATGGGTTTACAATAAGAAACGCAGCGTTTTTAGCGAAAAAATAAAAGGTGGAAAGCAAAGAAAGGAAAAAAAACCTTAGTAGCCGTGGGGAAAGACGGTGGCCGAAAGTCGAAAATCGGGGTATGATTCATTTCCAAGCTAACTGGAGAGTTATGAGGTTATCTGCTCAACGACGGTTATATAGGCACACGAATAGGCGAACGTACAATTTTCGTTTATGAAAAATGTTTTGATACATTGATTTATGGTTATTTTACGGAGCATGCGATTCGCGTATGTATGAGTAGTATGTCTTACATGTAGCTTCTAAACATTCGAACGATCGTCTTATACAATCGTACAATCGCAGACAGTATGAATGCTCCATTACTTAATCACACACTAGATATGTTCTCGAGTGATAAGTATGGTACTTTGGTTTCTGTCGCACTAGAGCTGCACAATGGACTATTGGTGATAGTCTGTCCTAGTCGATGATCCTGAGACAACATACTTGCGTCCTGTTTTACCGGGAGGACACATTCACACAACATCCATCCGCAGATCGTAATTTTGACATGGACCAGAGTACAGTGAATACTGTTTTCGCGTAATATTGTTAACGTTTTTGTTACGTTCATTTTCGTAATGTTTCTACAGTAGAGTAGTATTAATAATTACAATAATAATAAAGATAACTGATTGGTAATCTTTAATAATATTGAACTAATTAAGATTAACATTCTTCTTTCAATCGAATGAATTTTGGTGGCACTCACTTGGGCTTGCACTCTTCATCGTATCTTGGAGAGAGGTTGGTGTCTCTTGGCGGAGAAATTCCTGGCGATGTTGGCGAGAGAAGACTCGGCAGTGTGGAGGAGGTAGGTGGTGGGGGTGCGTCGTTGCCAAAGCCGCTGTCGTTGCTGGAATGCAGAGAGGTGGACATGGGTGGAAGACGTCTGGGCAGGATCCTGACCAGGGGGTCACCTGATGTCAGAGGGGGACCTGTGGGAGAGGTGGGGGTGGGGGCGGCGGAGCCACGGATGGGTAGGCTCGCGGAAGGGTGAAGAAGCTTGGCGTTATTCCGGAGGCGCTGCAAAATTTTTCAAATAAAAAAATTTGAATCTGCAAAATTTTTCAAATCAAAAAATTTGAATAAATATAATATGAATAGTTTAAGAGCAACCAAGTTAACGCATAATCAGTACAACCAAAAATGTTAAACAGAATGTGCATTGTAAATTAAAAATATGTATGATGTTAGTGAAACAGCTTAATTTTTTTAAAATTTAAAGATACATTTTTTATTGGCTCCTACTCACGCTAACTGAAATTACGAAGACAGCCTACGTGTTGTCTTTGGAATGAAAAGAAATGACATAGTTCCTTACACGGGCCAGTTCATGATTTTTTTTTTTTGATATTCTAGCGTACCACTTTCAAGTTGTTCCCCAAACTTTTTGGTGTAAGTACAAGTTCGTTTTTTTACATGCACGGTTGGATTAGTGTATGAATAAATAATACCAAAAATGAGAAAAGAATATTTTTCAGCATTCATAACATGACACCATTTTATTAATTTATTTTTTAAAAGTTCAAAATTTTTAATGGATAAACTCTTAAAAAAACAAGAGCAAAACAAAATGTTTCTCGATTAAAGTTAAAAAAAGAAATGATAAAATGATACTCTGCAATTAACAGTACTAAAAATGCAAAGCAAGCGCAAAAGAAATTTTTGAAAACGTATCTGATGTGGTGCTGCCATCTATGATTCTTTACAAAAATTTTAAAACATTACTATGGTGCTGACATCTATGAATGTAAAGATGAAGTTAAAACTTGCTAGCGGTAAATAATTATCTCGTAAAAAATATAGCATCACTTTGTTGTATAGGTAGAGTTTTCTTTTAACATCTTCTCTACTAATATTTATTTTTATGCAATTACTACATTTAAATAACAAAAAAGGAATATTAGGGAAATTTCACGTGTGATTTAAAACTTAGATTGGATATCTATCTGTGTTGTTATGTATTATTCAGTATATCTTAAATAAATGAGCAGGATCTAGCATCTCGCAAACACATTTAATTACAACTTAACGAGATACACTAACACAAACTGAAACTTAACATAAATGTAAACTGAAACTAAAACTAAACAGTTACAGTTAATCTGGCTGATGCCACACTATCCTCTTCCACTCATTTATTTGGTCAATAGTAATTTTCGAATTGTTGTTAAAATACTCTTATATTTTAAAATGTCATGTATAGAATGATAAAACATACATTTATACATTAATTTTCGTTGAAATTACGTATCTTAATTTACATTATAATTAAAAGCACATATATACATAAAATGTGTTTTTATTTTTTTCTAATTTGATACGAGCAATTAAAAATAATTAAGATTTAGTTCAACTGCTTAAAAGAGAAATATTTAGAATGATTACGATTAAAAAAATTCCATCATTTTAACTATTTTTACATCCATCATATAAAAGTGCCCAAGACTTCAATTATAAAAAATTGAGAATTATCTATTTAAACTAAATTAAAGAAAAGATTGAAGTGCATTATAAAATATTGAGAATTATACATTTAAATTAAATAAAAAAAAAGTGCTGAAGTGCATTTTTCTTTTTAGTTAAATGACCATTGGTTCTACAGAAAATATACCTTTACAGATTTTAATAGGCCTCTTTCTTTGCCATTTTGGATTTCAAATTACATTTTTTTTCTGTACCTAATAAACTTTTGATGAATTATATCTCCGGAGGACAGAGGGCTAGGAAATCGGCTGCCTTATTTCTCTGAATACCATGGTGGGCTGAAATCCATTGGAGAACTACTGTTTTATTATTACTGGCAAACCTTTTGAGCAGAGTTAAGCAATTATCGATGGTTAAAGTTCTAGAACGGCTGAGTGCATCAATTGCTTGAAGTGCGGTCGTTGAATCAGATAATAATACAACTTTTGAAAAGGAGTTTTTACAAAGCACTAAAATTATACTTTTTCTAATTATACTATTTGTAAACAGAATAGGTGTCTCAAAAACACTATAGCCCACACTTTCTGCCTCTTCATTAGCATAGTTACGATAAATCTTGATTTCCTCCCTCCCACGACAGAACATTTTAGTTAGAAGGGAAATGTGGGTGGATGTCCGGGTAAAGCTAAGCACAGATGGCGCTATGGGTTGAAATTCGTCGTAAGACTTCTGGGTAACTACTTCCGATTGATTTTAATGCCTTAGCTAGGAAAAATGCACCATTAAATATTAAACTTGTAGCTCGTTATTGTTTTCATTCAGTCCATACTAGCGAGATTTGAAGCAAGATTTGCTGGTACCATAGTAAAGGAGACGGGAAAGGTGTGGAGAGTGGAGTAATCAAGTAATCTTAAGACACCTATTCTATTTACAAAAAGTATATATAGCCGTGGCTGATTATGGGTTGAGTGTAATAAGTCTAACAAATATCAGGATAACATAGCAGGATAAGTTTACAAATATCACTAAATATTCTGGAGATTTTTCTAATCAGGCCACAACAAATGTATTCGGAAAATTTAGGGTGCGAAAACAAAAGTTAAAAACATACGTACCAATTTTTCAATTTTTATTATAAATGGCAAAACAAAAGATTTTGTATTTGAAAAAAAAAGAAAAAAAAAGACGTGCAGTGAGAATAAAGAAGTACTACCTGCAGAGAAGAATCCATATCTTTGGCATTAGAATCTATGAAAGTGGAGAGAGGTCGGTGGGAGGTAGGGGGAGGAGGTGGCAGAAGCAGAATGGAATCTGGAAACATGGAACTAGTATCATGATCTATGCCGTTCTGTTGGAATGGCTGAATGTTGGGAGTAGTGCGGCTGCGACTCACACCCAGAAATGTAGAGTATGGACTTGCAAAGTCCATGCTATGACGCTTCAGATCCAGCTCGCTAAAGGGTGCAGAAGGGACGAAAAAAACAGGTGAGGTATTGTTTAGGGTTTCCCATTTTTTAAAACTAACTTAAATTTTTTTCAAAAACAATATATAACTGTAAAAAAAGCATGTTTGCATGTCTGCGGATAATATAGGCAAAATAAAATTGGCCTGGAATATAGATGTTTTCTGAGGTAGTTTTAAAAACTGATTTATATTAATTCGGTACATATTTACTGGTTATATATTCAGGGGACTCTGAATGGTATTATGTACTAACATGACATTATTCAGATCCTCCTTAACTCGATCTAACCATCAAAATGGCACCAAATTTGGTATGAAGATTAATGATGACATGGTAATTTAAATTCCGTTGGAAAAAGAAATTAGTTTAAAAAAATCTACAGTGCTAATGTGACTTACCAAAAATTAGCAAAAAGCGTGACAGCATAATAAGGCTACATATGAAAAGAAATTTAGGCTACATATGAAAAATACTCTCAGTTGAAGTGAGCCAGATCAAATTAATATGCACCTCACCAGAACAAACATTATTGGTATGGAGCTAATGCATTGTACAACAGTACAACAGTTCCATGCATTGTACAACAGTACAATGCATGGAAAGATTTTCGTGTGCTAAGACTGTTTATCGAAAGCTCCGTCGTAATATGTAATAGTGTTTTTTTTTTACTAATAATTTATGTACTATTTTTAGAGCTAATTTAAGTTTGCAACTGCTACTCATTACTGTTTGGTCAAGTTTAACCTATCAAAAGCCAGAGCGGTCTGCTTATTTTGAAAATGATGCAAAAAGTCAATATGGAGAAAGCCACAGTTTTGTGAAAATGAAAAGCGTTTGTGGTCTATTTTTTTAATATTTAAAAACTTACTCCAATGCCTGGCATTATAAATAAAAAGCTCATTAGCAGCTGTAAATACACTAACAAAAAAAAAAAAAAAAAAAAAAAAAAAAAAAAANAAAAAAAAAATTTTTTTTGAAAATATCTAATATGGAGAATGAAATATCTTAAATTATAAATTTGTTCCTGTTATATGCATAGGCAAAAAATGAAAAAAAAAGGATCAAGTCGAATTAGATCTTTAGAAAAAAAACTGTTTTAAATGTTGATAATATTTATAAAAAAAATTCAAAAATTTTTATTTTTGAATTTTATTATTTTATTTTGAACGGCAAAATTTGATGAAAAATACTTAAGGGATACTTTATAAATGCAGACACTTTTCAAAATGAATTGATTACATTGTAATTGAAAAAAATTTTTTTTTTAAATTGAGTTATTTTTCAAAAAAAATTTTCATTCGCATCTTACATAAATAATTTTATATGAATTAATTATGGAGAATTGAAGTTTGTTCCTGATGTATTGCAGATGCAAAAAAATGAATAAAATTAAGTCAAATCGGATCGAATTAAATAGTTTTTTTTAAAAGAACTGTTTCAAATGTTGAGAATATTTATAAAACGAATGTAAATTTGTATTTCTAAATTTTATTATTTTATTTTGAATAGAAAAATTAGATGAAAAATATTTAAGGGACTTTTTTATAAATGCACACACATTTCACAATTAATTCATTTCATTGTAATTGAAAAAAAATTAAATTATGTTATTTTTAAAAAAAATTTTTAATTCGCATCTTACATAAGTAATTTCAGATGAATAAATTATGGAGACTTGATTGGATATATATATATATATATATATATATATGGTTAAAAACAACGTAATCCCTGTATTTATTTTGCTGTCCTGTATGATCCTGTGGTATAACTTTTGGGAACCACTGGCTTAGAAAATTTCCAACTCACATAAAAAATAATTTTAAAAAGATGAAGATTTCTTTTTTTTAGATATTTCTGTTTCACTTTATGAATTTTTCTTTTACATTTTGAAAAAAAGTTTGAATATTTCTTGAACTTTTTACCTGTGAAATTTTTTTTTCTGTTATACTATATTTTAAAAAATAAACGGCTATAGACATAAATATTTTGATTATTGAGGGAAACCCAAACATAGAAGCAAAATAAAGCAGAATACCCGAGTCAAGCAAAGCAAGCAAAGATTCACCAAATGTACCAGAAAGGTTGCAATATAGACCCTATAGAGAATAACTATAACTAAAAAAGCAAATTAGAAAATTATTTTATGTTTAAAAGCTTAATACTTAGTCATGTTTGGCAAATAGACAGTCAATATAAAATATGTACATCATTGCAAGAATTCTGTTTATTCAGATTAATTTCTTAGTATATTTTTCTAAATATTTAATTGATGCGTAATTAAAATAAACTCAAGCACAAAATATCTTATTTTTATGAAAAAGAAACTTCTGCACTGTTAAATATTTAAAATCATTGTACATTCCAGCATTTTTCTTTTTCAAGAAACAATACATATTTGTCAAAATTCAAATGACCACATGCAATTTTTTTGTGGCGGCACTATGAAATATGTTCATACTCAAATGAAAAAAAAAATTATAACTTATAACTTGGAAATTTTAAACTTTTTTATTATTGTTGCAGATAATTATTCTTCTGTTTGAAAGCAAAACTAAGGCATTTTAAGAACATGAAAATCTGTAAGAAAAAGGTTAAAAAGCAAAAGTGAAGAATTATCATTTTTAAAGAACTTTTAAAGACAGTTCACTAAATGCCTCAAATGAAAAATAAAACTTTTTGCAAAAAATATTCTATANTGGCGTTAAAAACCACGTGAGAGAGCTCGGGAACAAAACAGAAAGAACGAGAAAGATCCGCGGGTGTTTTATAAAAAGTGCCGTCGGCAGTATTGGACAAATTCAAGGACCTATCAAGTTTTTCAAGGACCTAAGACGTTTTTCAAGCACTTTCAAGGACCTAAATTTAGCAAAAAAAAATTCAAGGACTTTCAAGGACTCTCAAGGACCGTGGGAACCCTGAACTTGGAAATTTTTGACTTTTTTATTATTGTTGCAGATAATTATTCTTCTGTAAGAAAACAAAACTAAGGCATTTTAAGAACATGAAAATCTGTAAGAAAAAGGTTAAAAAGCAAAAGTGAAGAATTATCATTTTTAAAGAACTTTTTAAGACAGTCCACCAAATGCCTCAAGTGAAAAATAAAACTTTTCGCAAAAAAATATTCTAAATTTATATATTTGGTGAGTTTGGTAACAGACATAAATATTAGATTAAGTTTGGGTCGTATTTAGCCTGCCATCTGAATGCTTTTATGACACGACATGTAACAGTAATAACTGTTGATTAAATTTGGTTCCTGTTTAGCTTGCACTCTGTATGCTGTTAAAGCGTGTCAAAAAAAAGTCACTGTTTGTAACAGTTATAACTGTTAGATTAAGTGTAGGTCATGTTATACGCTTATGGCGCAAAAAGTCAAAATGAAGAAAAGTCACAATTTTGTGAAAATAGAAAGGGTTTGCGATCTAATTTTTTAACATTCACAGAATTCTAAAATTTCATTATCTAGGCTCAAAATCGGCGACAATTCAGAATCATTCATTGAATTTAATACTTTTCATCTCGGGGAAAAAATCTCACCAATGGAACGATTTCGTAATTTAATTTAATAATTTTTAAAATATTTTGATTATCTGTTCATTCTAAAGCTCAGATAATTCCTTATGGTAAGATTTCATACATAGTTTAAAAGTGCAGCTTTGCCTCAACTATAAGGCAATTAAACTGCTGCTTTTTTTAATTTCCTTTGGCGAAAAGCTATAAAAAACAACGATTTCAATGTACGAAAAAATCATGCCAAATTAAATTTTTTGAAAAAAGAAGAAATTTGATATATTTATTTTTTAAATATGGCGATTCGTACGTTTTAAATAGCAGACAGGTCTGTTCAACGTAGCTAAGGTAGATTAGAATTGAATTTTTTGTGAGTTTTAAAATATTTAAAAAGTGGCTTTTTGTTTTATTTTAAACAAAAGAACTTCTTAAAAAATCGTAAAAGGATCAAAAATTTCTCACAGCTAGAACCTCGGACCGTTTATTTTCGTAAAGCTTCTGAAAATATTTTAATGACAGGTACTAATCATGCAAGTGAAGTAAAATTCAAAATAAGCAATGGCAAAATAAGCAACTTTCTTATTTTTGTGATTCCCGTTTTCTCAATAAGTTCTTGGTGCACCTAGAATCGCAGGGCTTGTGGAGATCTTTTCACCAAAACTGTGGGTCAAAATAATTTAATAATTTCTTCAAAATAATTATACTATCGTATTACTTTGTATATCATTTTATAAAAAAAAATACTCAAGTCTGGTTAACGAAAATCAAAATATGATTTATTAGGAATATGTGAGTTTAACCTAAAATAATAATTAATAATTAATGAAATATTAATTATTATTATTAATTAATAATAATTAATTAATATTTATAATAACTACCTGATGTCCATTGGATGTACATTTGGACCGTCATTTAAAACAGCAGTGTAGGCAATAGGGAACCAGCCTCGCCTATAACAGGAATTAAACATTTATTAAGTTGATCTATTGCTATATGAGAAATAGGGCATTTCATTTAAGAATTTGCAGAGATTTTTTTCAGTGTGAAAAAATTTAATTGTAGTTATGCAAATGATATAGAATAAAAAGTTAAACTTTATAAATACAGTTGAAGTATGTTATAACAAGAATTCATAATACTAGATCAAATTGTCGTAATAGCGAGCTTGTCGTTATAAGCAAATACGTATACTTAGTTTCAAAACAGCAACAAAAAGAGTAAAATATGTGATAGACATATCTATCTCCTATTTTGAACAAGTATTTCGATTTAAAAAAACATTTTAGAGTGAACTGCTTTTGCATGCAGATTGCGAACTAAATTACGAATCTCTGTATTCCTCTGAATCTCGTGCTACTGAACTCTACATTCAATTAAATTCAATGTGTAGTTCTGCACTTAATGAAAGGCAGAAGAGTCTACGATGGAATTACTTTAATGACAAGTTTCCAAATCGCAACAAGTTTTCGCAAGAAGAAAACGAAATTAAGTGCAATACTTTTTAACATCACTGATAGCAGCCAATGTTGATTTTAACAGTAAATTGATCAATAATGATACGCTTTCTTGTGATTCATGATTTCTAAAAATAATTTCGTAGAAGACCAGCTAAGAAATAGCTAATGGTCATATATACATCGCAAATTATAAAATCAAGGGATTAAAATTGTAAGAAAGAAAAGATTTTTTGTTGTTTTTCTGCATTGATACGATAAATAAAAACGACTTCTATTTTTTTCTAATTTCTTTCGTATAATATTTCTTACTTAAACAGAAAAAAAATGTATTTCCCTTAGAATTTTTTTTTTTTATATAACATCGTCATAAACATACAATTTTTGAATCAAAGTTTCGAAATTTGTCCTAATAGCGGACTTTTCGTAAAATGCCATATTCATTATAATTCGTTCACCAGCAGTTGGCACTTGTCTCCCCCTCCTCGGGCGCAGAGTTCATTTCAGCGTGCGAGTAAGAAGAGAAACATCTCCGCGCTTGAAATTGAGACAACACTTAATGCGCGCCAAACGCAAACAGTGACTTCTATTTCAGTCACTTACTTCGCCTTATCACCTGCTATTATACCTTTCGTTTCTCTATTTAACTAAATATATTTTAAATTTAAAAACTGCTGTTTATCCCGCAAAATGTCTCAAAAAGGACAGACTATTTTCTCAAAAGAGAGAAATATCATCAAATTTATACAATATTTAGTGTTAAAAAAATGCACATAAAGAAGTTTGAGGAATAAATATTTTCGCCATTTGATCGCCAAATAGCAACCTTGTTCAGGATTGCTCACAACCTTCTCCCAAAAATAGCGAAATAGTATCGTCCCATACCACGTGATGAAGGCGGAGCCAAGTGCCAACTCTTGGTGAACGCGCTATATATCATATATCTAGCATTATATTATCAATCTATAAATTCATACGAGATTCCCCTTCGTTTCAGCTCTTTTGTGATGAGGCTTTTAAAATGTAGGCAGAATTACTAAAAAAATTTCAAAACATCAATTTTTAATTGTTTGCATTTACAACTCTATAAAATCTAAAGCGTTGTGGTTTTCTGACCATGGTGGTTTGTGTTTCATGGGTACCTGTGATTTCTTTGATTTTCTCCATACTGCCATCCTTTGTTTCTGTCACCAATCAGAACTATTGTATCACCCTCATGGAAGCTCAGCTGATGCTCACCACTCGACAGATACGAATACAGCGCCCTCACTCGGGAGTGACCACTCTTAGAATCTGTATCTATAAGACTCTTGGGACGGAGGGTGACTCCTGTGAAATATTAAATTGAGAAATACACTGATTAGATTAATTACATTCATTGAAATAATTATAATCAAAACTTGCATTAATGGATTATAGAATCATGAAATTCATATAACGGGTATAATCTCAAATTTATATTTTCGAAAATTTTTAGATTTTTAATTTAGAAATTTTTACTCGGATTTATGTACGTATTATATACTCATCATGGTTTAAATACAAAGAAATATGGGGGAAAACTGATAAGAAAAATAAGGACCAAATATAGGTGTTAATAATATTTCTCCATATTAATTATAATTTCTGAAACTCAATAGATGGCGCTCAGCGCAGTAATGTAAACTCATTAGTTTTCTAATCAGTTTTCTCCATGACACTGTACCATTATCATCATCCTTTTGTTATTAATCGAGTTGTTAAAGAGCGAATTGTTTTTCTTTTCTTTTTCAAATCATCGTATGAATCCATTATTTAAATCAAGTGCACTCACCTTTAATCAAACTGATTAGAAACTAATGATTTTACATTACTGCGCAGAGCGCCATCTATTGAGCTTTAGAAATTATAATTAATATGGAGAAATAAATAATATTAACACACCGCTCTAAATTACCCGCCAATTGCTGAACAAGATGACGGTCGTTCACGTGTCTCCATATNTATTTGCACAAATTCATAAAAGCGGACCCTGGTTGAAAGAATGTTACTTAACGTTTATTTTATATTCACAAATTACGAGTAATTTTTTCACAATTTTACAAAAACGGACCTTTCACAAAATGTCTGGACAGACCCCTGGTAGTATTTTTCATTATTCTTGCTTTATCAAACTCATAAAAACTCTATTTAGGGAATAGACTACGGTTTAGACATATTATTAATATTTAGGTTTATACAACAAATATCGAAACTTATTTGGCGAAAAAAGACCATTATTTATTTTTATTTTAGCTGTGAAATATAAAATAATAAATTAATCAACTAGTCCGTTGTTTATTCACTAAATATGCGTATAGCTTGGCCAAAGAATACCTAAGGTTACCGTGGTTAAGGAATACCGTGTTCTTTGTTCGCCAAGGCGTATAGAAAACATTCATGCAAAGTTTCAAGTAACTTGAACTAAAATATTGAGATATTGCATTTAAAATGAAAGAATATAACCGAAACATTTTGAGAAAAAGGACAGAAAACGGCATAATTGTCAATGTAATAACCAAAGTAAATAATTTTTTAAATCATCATGATTTCTTAAATCATTTTTTAAATCATAACTTCGGTTCAATTTGACGTAGAAGCTATATATTAAAAGAGACTAATATATTAAAAGAGAAATATTCATAATTTTAAATTATATACAAAACAGAATAATAATTTAGTCAAAATCTGCTTAGAAAAGGTAGACGGGTACAAAAAGTTACTCAAGGTGGTGAAATTTCTTATGAACATAATGTATATTTCCAATAAAATTTTATTAAAGATAACAATTAAAGATGATAAAAAGAGTCAAATGATGATAATTAAAAATTTAAGTTTAACTAATAATCTCCATAAAAGAAATAATATATAGAGTATCTTCACATCAGCGGAAAGGCGGATATTTGACAGAGGGTACCAAAGCAAAAAATTCTCATTCGCGAATGATTCGTTCACGAACGTAAATTTTTTTTTTCGTGAACCATGAATAACAGTTAGTACTGTTGATTCTAGACAAATGAGACAGTTTTCTGGGAATTTTTTGAACGGTTTGAAAGAAAAAAATTGATAGATGTTATAGAAAAAAGTAAAGGATTCTCGCAGCAACTCATTGCGATCCAGGGGTTCAAAATGTTCAAATATTTATCGAAAGTCAAATGTTTATCTAGGGGCAAAGAACAGATTGCAAAGTTTTTCCATTCCTAGAAAACTGGTATTCTATATTCAGTGGCATCAGAATGTGCAAGACAAGGTTCGCAACTCACCATAATCGTTTGATATGAGACTAGCATTGGAAGAAGCGATATTGAAATCCGATTTGGCTCTGACTAGGGGTCGGGGAAATGTGTCCAGGTGAGGATCCCTCAGATCCATGCAACTGGTGTCTATGCTGCGAACTTTACGAAGAGTGTTGTTGTTGGTGATATTGGGGGAAGGATCGTAGACGGAAGTACTCAACATAGACGTGTCAAGGAGATTGGCACAGGCATACTCGCTACAACTCTGAAAAATAAAAAAGAATTATTCTACTCAAGAGCATATACGAATCGAAAATAATTATTAAAATAACTATTGTCATTAAATATGCTGACGATTTTCAAAAATCAATAACAGGAAAATGATTACGATGAAAAAAAAATCTTACTGGAAATTTATGTTGTAGGATATAAATTTTCCTCCAAAAGTTCCTAGTTTTTATTCATATTTCTTTTGACAGATAGTTCCGCACGTAAGTGTGTAAATAAAAAAATAGAAATTTTTTTTAAAATTACATTGCGGTAATTCGAAAATTTTTAATGAATGAATTTCACATTACAATAGTTGCGAAATGTCTAATATTAGCCTATCGCTATGTGTATTGATAGCCTATCTCTATGCCTATTTCTCTGTTAGCCCATCTCTACAGCTAGCATATCGCTATGGAATTTGTTTAGTATTTTTCTTGACAGATGACGCTGCATTTATTCTAATCATACTTTGTACATTCGAAATTGAGATTAGAATAAAAATTAATTCATTTTTATTTATTTCTCCTCGTCTTTCTCTACCTGTAATATAAAATTAATGTAATAATTTCCTAATGTAAAAAATAACCTGTTATAATAATAATAAGAACTTGAAATTCATTTATTATTGTAACTTTGAACGTACATTGAATTGTGTTCGGATAAGTAAAGTGTTGAAAAAGCGCGAAGAATTTTTTTTATTCCCTAAAGCAGTTTTAGAAACATAAGGAAATAAACAGAAAGCAAAATTAATAATAAAGTGACCAAAACTTTCGGACGCTTGCTTTCCTAACTTAATTTTTCTATATCATATTTGTAGATTATTCAGATCATATTTTTCAGATTGTGATTGCTCACATTTATTAAGACTTCTTTAAATCTAAATCCGTAGAAAGAAAAGTTTCAGAAGAAAGAAACATTATTTTGCACCAGAATCCGCAACGTAAAATAGGATATGTAAATATTTTTGACAGATCCCTATTACATTCATTATTTATTTATTTATTTTTTGTGCGTAATGTAAAAATAAGTAGATTTTCATTTTTTTTTTGGTCCTCACAAATGTGCTTTAAAGAAATAACATTTTTACGTACCTTATAGGTGTTTGTTGGTGGAAATAATTTGTCAATAGGTTCTGGTAAAGATTCTCTACTTTTGGCAATTTCTTCCCATTCTTCTAAATGGTGTTGCAACATGGTTTGGCCCTTTTAAAACATAAATCATGTACAAGTGTTCTTATTTTACAAAGACAATTATCATTATTTAAATATTCCATAGAAAAAAAAACATTCATTCCCGTTTGGATTAGGAAAACAAATTATGTTTAACGATTGTCCGCAGATTGCCTAAAATAGTGAGAGAAAAAAGTATACATCTACCCAACCTCTCAACTTACAACACTCCTCTTTGAAACTCGATGGAAAAAAGGTTTGAAAGACATAAAAAAAAAGCTTGCTCTATCAGAAATTTATACATAAGGAAAAGAGTTCAGAGTTATTATAAATATCCTCCCAGATTTAACACGCAGTAACATCTAATACACATACTTTGTTGTTGTTAAAACAAGTAAAGGTCTTTGTGGAGGAGTAAAATTAACATTACGTACTATTAGTTAGTGATAAATGAGGTTTTGCAGTAATTTTGGTAGTGATAAATATCGTTTAATAATGCAGTGAAAATAAAAATCGCAATCGAATTTGCAAACAGTTTTTTTTTTGCGTTGGAAAAGTGTAGTTAGTTGTTTTTCTCGTCACATTATTCCATCAACAGTGAAAAGGTTTCACAGTGAAGCGGAAAAAAAGAAATTTTTGCTAACGTTTCAAGCAGGCTTAAATAATAGTACTGGGAAAGTGGTTGCTAGGTTTCCTTTTGCGTCACATTACTCTTACGGCAGTGAAACAGTTTTACAGTGAAATGGAAAGAAACATTTTTGTGGACGTTTCAAGCAGGCTTAAATAAAAGTGTTGGGAAAGTGGTTGCTAGGTTTTCTTTCCCGTCACATTACTCTTACGGCAGTGAAACGGTTTCACAGTGAAATGGAAAGAAACATTTTTGTTGACGTTTCAAGCAGGCTTAAATAAAAGTGTTTGCTAGGTTTTCTTATCCCTAACATTACTCTTTCGGCAGTGAAACAGTCTTACAGTGAAATGGAAGGAAACATTATTTATATTAAAGTTTCAAGCCGGCTTAAATGATAGTGCGATAGGCTATTATTTAAGCCTATTATTAATAGGCTTAAATAACAGCGACTGGGAAAATGTTCATTAGTTTTTATTTTACGCCAGATTACTCCTTCGGCAGTGAAACAGCTTTACAGTGAAACGAAAGAAACACATCATTTTAGTTAGCGTTTGAAGCAGATCTAAGTAATACCACTGGGAAAGTGGTTAATATTTCGAAAAAAACATGTATGATGATCAAATATAAATTATAATCGGCAAAATTATATTATAAGTAAAGTACATGGATGTATTTCTTACAAATTAATTACATCAAAAAACTTATGATTTACAATATAAGCATCAATAAAAAAATAAGGAAATTCACTATGCCATACGTATGACTAAATGAAATAAATGCATAGAATATTTTTATTTCAATTAATTAAAGACATTTTTCGATTAATTTTTGATGAACTAAATCGTTCTGCCTTAATTTATTTAGGTAGTACATAAAATTTGTATGTTAGTTTGGAAAGTTCTCTCAAAATTTCGTAGCGAGTTACAAACGTTAAGTAATTGATCTTAGTACAGTTAAAACTTATAAGCAAAACTTAAAAATCTGAACTATAGGAAGTGGTTAATTTTATGAATAAAAATTAGACATTATTAGGTGAAAAAAAGATAGACATTAATAAATAAAATAATATATAATGTCTAAAAATATTCTGATTTCGTTTTAAAACACTTACAATGATGACCTTGGACAGCAGCAAGAAGATTTAGCAATAATATACTTAGAAACATAAATAAAGACTAGTAAGTATAAAATTCAAAAACAATTTTGACCTTCATAAATTTCGTAATCTCTTGGGGGTGGCCTAGATATGGTACGAAAATAAGAACACCGATTGTTCTCCAATTTATTATCATATTTCTGCAAAGATATAATTATGAAACACATAAAACGAAATATCTCATGAAATGTATGGTCGTCATAGAGAGTCTATGAAAACACAGAAATCACTGCCCTGTTATTGCCACAGATAATAAAATGAAACATGCAATTTTATCATTTTATTATTGGCAACGGCTCTCACGGGAATAATTCCGACAGTCCATTCTTTCGTCTTGTTTATTTTCAAATTCATTTATTGATCAATCATTTTCAAAGGTCCCTAAAATAGACTAAAGTAGATCATGAAACATTGAAAGTTTTAGAGCTTTAAAAATGTCTTAGCTTTTTTTAGTTTTCAATTATATTTATAATTTCTAATTACAGCTAGTGCTTTGCTAAGGCCTTTCAAAATATACAAAATATATCCTATTACAATTAATTTAAGGATCTATGTAGTTCTGATTTTAGCGAGAAAACATCAATTCAAACTTTATTTGCACTTCCTAAAATTTTTTAATTTTTAACTTAGAATTCTAGATTTTTTACAGGAATTAAACAAATTTATGCATTATTTAAGTTCAGACAATTTTGTAAAACCATGTGAAGAACTTTTGTAATTAAATTTTCTTCAGAGTTATAATTTGAAGTTAAACATATTATATGACATCTTGTGTGCAACAATAAAAGTTATTTATTGATGATTTGGAACTACTTTTTATAGGCAGTTAAATATGTTCTAATTTAAAACTATACTAGCTCCAAATAACTGAAAAATTAAAAACAAATGATTAAAAAAAAATTAGATTCTTAAAAAAAATATATTGATTAAAAAAATATCAAATATTTAAAAGAAGTATTCAAGTGCTACTATAATTTCAATCAACATGCTATACTTAAAATAATTACAAAGGTTTTCAGAAGTCGAGTAATCCTGCGTCAAGAGAAAGAATTTGAATTCAGATTCAAAGACTAAACTTCAAATAAAAATGTTTTTAAACAAAATACTTTATTTGACAGACGGTTTCCAATTAGAAAATAGGTGCATTTTCTGTTTTCAGTGAGCGAGTTTCAGAATTTTTGCTGTAACTTTAAAAGATCGTTTTAAATATTATCTTATACTTGGTATTCAATTGGTAAAAGGATGAATTTTTTTTAAAAATTTGTTAGGAAAAAATCCCTAGAACTCTTAAAAATACTAACCTATGTTAGCCTTAAGTACAAGAAGAAAAATGAGGAAAAACAATTCTTTAATAAGGCATGTAATTTATTTATTGTTTATTTAGTATAAAATCACATTAATTTTAGTAAACATTTATTTACGTAAAGGAAGAAAAAAAACTTTTTTTTAAGGAATGAAAAGCATATTAAAGTATATAGATCGTCAAAGAAAACCAACAAAATTTGTTAAAAAACTTCTTAAAAGAAAAACATTCGCATAGGTCTAACTTATAAAATCACTTCACAAATTAGTACTATTTATTTTCTAATTTGTGGCCCATTTCTAATTGAATCGTATTTAATAACTCAGATTTTAAATTTTCTTAAAAAAGAGAGCATGCCAGATCGTGGGAGTACATCAAATATATTTTAAAATACAGAAATATAAGTTTCCAAAGTATATTAATATAGGAAGGTTTAAATTAGGGTTGACCTAAAACAATAAAAATTATTTTTTTACAAATCAATTTCGGTACAAAAACAAATAAATAAATCCAAATAAATTTACAAAATTAATTATAAATAATACTACTTGAAGGATAACTACATTCATGTAGTTTAAAAAATTCAAAACGGAATCGAATTTGAGTACTTATGAGTTACATACTTATGAGCAAGTTATTGGTAATTCTAAAAAAAAGTTACAAACATTGTATTATATAAGCGCTAATTTTTTTTAAAAGTTTTGTATTTGTAACATGGTAAAATGAAGATTCAAATATGTAAAAAATGTATTAAGCTTATCAAAATCGTGGAAAAATTCATTAAAAAAATAATCCTTTATTTAGGCTGTTCCCCTTAATGGGAATGTAATTCCTTAAGCAACAAAAATCAATTAAGATTCCTTACAAGGGACATTAACGACGAAAATAAAAACGAACAATGAATAACATTCAATTCGAATTAATTCAATTAATCAATATTATTGTAAATGCCGACGTCCAATGTTTGAACAAGCGCTTTGTTCGACAAATCGATGATTAATCGCGAGCACTTAATCATCGGAATAAGGCTGTCAGCCCCACAAATCAAAACATAATTACCTGAGAATGATAATGCAAATCATGCTTTGTTAGAGAACACTGTCGCTCCAGAACAAAGCCGTACCGCCGCCTCTCTTGTGTTATAGCCTATAAAAAAACATTCGAAAAAACAAAGAGATTAAAGAATTAGAATATTTTTTTTCTTCTTTTGTCTGTTACATTATACTGGTTAAAAAGAATTATGATGCCTATTTGGATAAAGACTTAAAAAATAGTTATTATAAAATAGTTTATTTAACGCAAAATCAGAAAATGGAATATTAAATAATTTTTTTTTAATTATCAGAGTTTTGCGTATTAAGATGCAATCTAAAGTTCAAATAAAAGCAAGCCATAAAGTTATTTAGAGTAACACATTTCTTAAGTTACGGAATAAGATAGAAAAAAGCACTTCCTCAGAATTCTCCAACATTTGAGATTTATGCACAATATTTTTTTACAGTGGTAGAGAACCAAAGCAGAAATTTTGAAAACAATTTGAATTTTTTGAAACTTTTACTGAAACTTGACAGCATAAAACAAATCTTTAACTGACTTTTTATATATATGTTTAAGTAATTTATGTGTAGAGAGGAATATTCTTTAAATTCTAATTCATTAAAATGAATAACAAACTTCTTTACAAGTGGACAAAATAATTAAATCCTTATTTATTAAAATATCAAAACATCGCGGTGGCTCATGGGATGGATAACTCGCCTCCCAGTGAGATGACTTGATTTCGAATCCCAGCAATGACTTGTCAATACGAATTCCGTATTCGGCTCACACCGATCACAGTGTTAGACTGATCATGATTATAGTCCCCTTTCAGTCAGGCTAACCCTGGGAGGTTTTAGTGCTTTTCCTCTTCATGCAACGGAAATGCGGGTTAGTTCCTTAAAAAAGTATGCATATTTCCTCCACGAATGCATATTTCTCCCAATACTTGATCCAGGAGTTCCCCAATCATCTGGATTAGGTTTAAAATTACATCGCTACGGAATTGAACATTAGTAGTAGTGAACTCAAAAATTGGGTCGGCTGTTCAACAACGGTTATAAAATAAAAAGCATTATAACATTGTCTTTGTTCCGACTAGATGAAATATTTCCCAAAATTACGGAAATTTGGTAGTAAGAGGTTATGTAAATATGAACTTTTGCAGGCAGATTAGAGCATTTAACTCCCAAAATATAGAAAGGGGTTAGCCAAAAGGGGGAATATATTCCAAACAGCTTAAGTAAATGGTCAAAACTTTAGGCTCCCCTATTTAACGTTTTCCGTTTACGTATTTCCTTACGAATACTTTTTAAGCATTTACTTAAGTATTTCCTTTTACGTAATTTACCAAATTTGCGGAACTATTTAAAGGAATGCTAAATTTTAGTATGAAATAATAAAGTTTGTCATGTGGCGAAATAGACAAAAAGTGAAGTTAAGGGGATAAAATTTTGGAACTGCTTTGCTGATTTACTTATCTGAAACATTATCCCCATTTTGGTAAATATTTGAGCAATTTAATTTTTGTGACGTTTTTCTTCGTATTGAAACACGAGTATGCGAGTATATTTGATATATAAATTACTATAAATAGGACGCCAAACACATGAAAACTTTAGTAAGAATAATAAGAGATATCACAATTGGAATTCTGGATTACTTTAAACATCAAAGCGCTATATTACATAATTATAAACCTATTAAAAATAGTTTACAGATAAAATATTTTAAGTTCACAATATATTTTTTAAAAATAAAAACTGCTCAATTGAAAACAATTATTTAACCTGTTTTAAGCTTCTTTCACAAAAACAGTCTAATTTCATTTTCTCCTCTTCCAACTGTTGCAAATTCTGAAAAGGAAAGAAGAGAAAATTTAGATTTTCAACATTACACAAAAACAGCTCTGAAGAAATAATAATCCTAAAAACTAATACATGATGATAGTCTTTTTAAATATATGTATTCTAAAAATTGTATTTTACTTGGGAAAGTTGGACAAAACCGGGTTCTAAGGTTTCTTTTTCTTTAGTAACTCCGCGAATAAAATTGATAAATCTTTTAATTCGAATGTCATTTTTCATCAAATTTTCAGATTAATTTTGACAGATTATTTCAGATTTCATTTGACTGTTGGACCAAAGTATGTGGTTATCAGGGTAATAAAGTAAGGACCGAAGTAAACTCTGTATGTGCGGCCCAAGTTACCACTCATTCTATGGTAGTTAATCATTTTTATATATGAACCAAAGTTATAGAAGAGTCATTCCATTTACATACTTCTACACATTACATTGCTTGTGTACACACACTACGTACTATATTGCTTTAACATACACTACGTAGTACAATGCTGATACACAACCTACGACATTTCTTGTTCATACATTACGTACTACACTGCTTGTACTACAGGACAAATTAAAGAAGGTTCTTCGATTTGAACATTACGAAGAAAGTATACATTGTCATTTGTCTCAAAAAAATTGTAAGCATCTACAGGTTTGAAACTACAAGTTTTTAGTAAGTAAGGCTTGGATGATCTAGATAGCTTTCATATTACCTACACAGTAAAAAAAAAGATGATGTATAGTAGTAATTTTTAGTGCTGAGGTAAACTAAGTTTTTTCACAGTGCCTTTAATCATACTTTTTTTTAATTTTCTTTGCATTTTTTATTATCATTTATTAACTTTTGTACACATATTTTACACGCATTGCAATCAATTTATGGCTTCATTTCAAAAATACATCATTTAAAAAAGCAGCACATTTTCATAACACATTTTACAGTAATTCTTTCGAACAATAGTTATTTTGTCAATTTTATATAAATTTTATCATGTGTTTATATAAAACACGATAACTACAGTTTTGCTTTAAAAAAATGCTTTTAATTTACATCAACGAGAAAAATTGTGGCTACTGTACACCAAAGTTTCTTACAGTGTACGTAATTTGAGAAATGAAACAATTTTCTGGTACAGATCCGTCCCCTAGTTAATTTGAACATTAGTTAGATAATCTATCGAATAAATGATTTCTACATTTTAGTGGAAATATATCAGACAGCCGAAGTGTAGTAAATGGTGACTGGAGCACGTTAAATTTGTCGGGTCACAACGTCCTCCATGTTCCCATAACAAATAATACCTCAGGGGTAATGGATTGAAAATCGATCATTCTTTGGTTTAGGTAAAAATTTCGATCTATGGATGAATGAATGTATGAATGGGTCCGCCCTATAAAAGGGTGTGACATATGGGCGTGGCAAAAAACGAGTTTTTGGCCAAAGATGGCGCCACTGGAAAACAAGAACAATCGCACCCCCAGTGCCTTAATAGCCTACGACAACAACAACAAGTGGTAATACATTTTTTTTCTTGCATTTTGAAGAGTTTATTATATTTTATTATATTAATTTATTATATTAAATTATATTATTAATTATTTATTATATTAATTGTATGACGGATAAAAAAGTGAAACACATAATTACTTTAATTTCTTTGTCTAGATTGGTTCCTTTACCCTTGTTTTTCTTCCGTTGTTTTTTCACAACTCCCACAGCTTTCATGTAAGATTCCTGGAGACACTTGTGTTGCTGAATAAAACGCTTCTGTTCACACTGAAGAGGAGAGGAAAAGAAGCAGAATTATAAAACAATACACACAAAAAAATTTTTTTTTCTCTTTTTGTTTTTTTTAAAAATTTCCAAGTGATGCAATTTTGATTTAAAATTTCTCGTTTTGGCTCCTTCATCTTTGCAATCAAATTTATGACGGAAAAAAAATGGCCCAAGCAGCACCAAAGTGTCAAATAATATATTGCTTAAACCATCTATATTTAACTGAGCAATTAAAATCTTCGTTTTAAAAGTTGATAAAGGGTACCTTATACTCGAAATTGGTACATACAAAATTACGATAGAAATAATTTTAATTAGAAAAACAGTCTTGTAGGTGCTTAATTTATTGTATTGAATAAAAATAACAATTATTTTCAAAGAAAAGAGGGATTTACTGTCTGTCAGTCACAAGATAATCTTTGCTGAAAGCAATTCTGAGACTTTAAATTTTGATTGCCAAACCATACTAATCATTAAATTTTTAGAATATAATAAAAATAATGCATTTGATTTTTAATTAAATGCAACTAGCCAATAAATTTTAAGTAGGCAATTTTTTAATGTGCAATAAATCGTTTTTATATTTTTCAGTGTATATTTGATTATAACTTAAATATTTTTTAAACGTCAAAACACCCTGAAGCTGACGAGGCATTTTGAATGTAACTATCTGAAAGGACAGCTTTAAGTGTAAAATTAAATGACAAAAACTAACTGCTAAATAATAAAATATGTTGAACATTGAGTAAGAATTGAAAAAAGAAAAAAAGGATGTTAACCTCAGCGCTAATGTCAAAAACGAAAGTGACATTTCCAAGTTTCTTTTTTAAACCAGCGAAGACATATTTAGAACTCGGCGCAAAGACGATACCAAATGAAAATTTTTTCCTATTCGAAGATAGTGGTGATAAAAGAATGTACTAAAAATAATTACTGTAGATGAATACGTGAAACCCTAAAATTAGAGGGTAAAAGTACAAAGACATTAAATTATAAGAAGCCTTATTCGGAAATAAGTATTTGGAAATGCACATATTTTAAGGCAGTTATTATTTCCTCAATAACAATTCGTCATCGATGTTCGTGATCGAGCTTTTCTCAGATAACGAATGAAAAATTATTAAAACTTTATTATTTAAAACGTTAAAATATAATTAAATGGTTGAAAAAACTCTTTTTGATAAAATAGATCTGTAAGCCAGCAGTTATCACTAATATTTTCTTTTAATTTTTTCAAAAAACAAACTCGTAAATGGGAAAAATTTCTTTTTCAAACGTATATCCCGAAAGGACAAAGTAAAAGTTTTGAACACTGTTTAGGATCGGAACTGATTCTTGCATCCATTGTCCGAATTTTAAGACAATGGCACAAACAGTACTGGAAGTTGTAAGAGAAGTACATACAAACCTTTTCTCTCATTGTTATAAAATATGAAAATCTAGATAATTTTCTCTAAAAAAATACTCACCCAAACAACTTAAATTATGAGGCTAATCATTATATTGATCCAACTTCGAATTAAATTTAATTGACGCTTGAAAATTCCAGAAAGTAAACAAATACTTACAGCTACAACTTTGGTATCCTTATCGATATTTGTCTCAAGGGGTACCAATAGATCCACGTAGAACGCTTTCAACTGAAAACAATAATAATGCAAAATCAATTTAATATTTATACTCTACAAACAGCTGAAAATGGAAATAATAATGCAAATAATAAAAAATCCTTCAAAATTTATAAATCAAAGTAAAAAAGTAAAAGTATATTATCAAAGTAAAAAAGTAAAAATGGTACATTTTACTGTAAGAATCACCATTTGATGAAGAATATACGCTAGTAAATAATATATTCAGGCAAGAAATGTTCAAGCTCAAAAATACCATACGATATTACTCAGTTTCGTTAATGCTTTTCCAAAAATTACATATTTTTGCCTATTAAAAAGAATCACAACTCTTAGAAATAGATGCAAGTCTTTAACAAAATTTTTTTTATTACATAAAGTAATTAAATTATATTAGCAATTTTAATATAATGGTAATTATAATATATTAGTAATTATTATATATTAGTAATTATAATATAAAGTAATTGGAAACTGGCATAATGAGGCGTAACTTTTACGAATTGGAGTAATGAAAGTATTTACTCAATTTCGTCGCGCATAAGCATTTAAAGCAATAAGATGGTTGTACCTTACGTTGTTTTTAAACAAAGTACTTGTAAAACAGCACTAATCTATCTGAGCAATAATAAATCTATCTGATCTGAATTATATACAAAATACTCTCTACTTAATTACAAATTAATGCATTATTGAACCTTAAATACTCAAAATACAATATTGACCCCTAATAAATACTTGAAATACAATATTGAACAAAAAGTAGTCGAAATGCAGAGTTCAAAGTTGTGGGAAAAAGAAGATTTTTCTGGAGGAGAGTAGCTCGCTATGCGCATTAGCAACGCATAAAAGCAGTAAATATTATGATTAGTAAATTTATAGCAACGATTGGGTTATGATTAGGATTAGACTTGAATGAAAAAGCATTTAAATGAAGTAAAAGAACACAAACCTACAATGTTAAGTTGCTGGGATTGAATTTCCTTGTGAACATCAACTAACTGCAACAATGCTGTACCTGCAATTGAAACGGAATAAAATTAAATTTATAAAAACATTTGTTACTTATTTTAGGGAGATAATATGAGAAAACTTAAATATTGGATGAAGGAATAGATTCCCAATTTTATACTAAATTTTAAACAAGAAAAGTAACTAAAAATGCGAAAAATCAAGCCATATCATGCATGAGCTAACAATTTCGAGGTAATAAAAGAGCATAATTTATTAAAAATAACAAAATACGTTCAAAACTCAATAATCGAAATGTTATAAAAAGGCAAAATCTCTCAGTATGTATCATAACATTAGATCATTCTAGATTTGTCCTGATGAGAAGCGTGTTTGCGTATACATTTATGTACGTGTTTGCGTATACATTTATGTGCGTGTTTACGTATACATTGAAATTTTAGGAAATGAATGAAGCTTTTGAACTAATATTTCATTTATGCTCTATTTTATTAAAATTCGTCAAAATCAATAATTTTCTCCATTTTTGTAATAATCTCTGAGCCACGACATGTCCATGAATTTATCAATATCCTGAAATTAATGATTATTATGTAGTAAAAATAATCATCAAAACTAATTAATAATTCTTCTTTTGTTTATAATCCATGCGTAATATAATAATCTATCTAAAAAAAGAAGTTTTTGGGTCAATCCAATGTCGCAGACAAATCAAATGCGGTTCCTAACTTTAATATGAACGCGTCCTAAAGGAATAGGTCTTCTATCCTCCATTTTCGTGCTAATATCATATTTTATAACCTGGTAATATAGTTATGAAAATATTTTTCAATCATTTTGGAGAGCTGTACCAAGTACATGGCACCTGTTTTCCCTTCTCACTTTATATGTTTCTATTTCCGTATTATTTGGTATTTTTTCAGAATTTTTACTTGGTAAAATTTGTGTTAATTTTCATGGGGTGGGGAGGATCATGTTACACTATTGCATTGATGTATTTTGCTTTGTCTATATTAATACAATATTAGAAAACACTATTTTTGCAGATCTAACCATGTGAGCTGATGGCAAGATTTTTTCTCGTTGTTTTTCACTTTTTTTAAAATATTTTCACTTAATTGTATAATTCAATTCTTCTCTTTTAAATCTTTCTTTCCTTCCTTGCTTTTTTTGCTTTTCTTCCATTCTTAATTGTCACTCAATTTTTAATATATATAGAACATATTAGGAAAATAGAACATATTAGGTAAAAAGGATTGTGGGAGCTGGTTTTAGATAAAGAAAGAAACAGAAGTATCTGGCATTATCCTAAGAGATTGTTTTTGCTCAGTACACTTTTAATTAAATATCCAAGATAGTATTTTATCGAAGATTTATTTAATATTAATATTTTTGTGGTCGAAATATTTTATAGTCAAAATATTTCGACAAAGCATCATCATCATCATCATTATTATTATTTATGAAATGAATAAAAATTAATAAACTGAATTGTTAATAAACGTTTAAGCCCATTTTCCCAATATACTGGCTTAGATATGAATAAACATTGTAGGAAAAAAAATTTGAATCAATTCGAATCAGAACAAACATATTATTCTATTTTAAAATATAAAGGAATAAAACCGACAGCTCCGAGAAATAGAAAGCTTTTCTAAGCATGCACAAGAGAACAATAAATAAAAAAATTAGAGAAAACATAAATTACACTCTAAATTTAATCCTGTACTAAATTTTTAAAAGCACTGGAAATAAATTCTCAGTCATGTTGTTTCCTGTTTTCAAAAAAGAATAACTTCAACATTCTTTTCACAATTCTAACACGAAGAATTTAAAATATTTTTTTAAAGGAAAAAAAAAAGAAAGCTGCGGAAAGGGAACTTTTTTCCCCTTTGCAAAATGTTTTCCCTTTTTGGCGAATCTGGTTAAGGGATAAGAGCCCTAACAATCCACTATCGGGGAATTCGGGGTCAAAACATTTCCATCTTATGCATAAAATATTTGTCGCGGGATCTTCTTTTTTGATAAATACAGCAAAAGGGAAGTTTGAAAATTTCAGATTTCTTATTCAAAGAATTCATTTTAAAGCAGTTGCTCAATCTACTCCGCTCTCCCCTCCCATGTTTTTTTTAAATATTTTTTTTTATTGCTATAAGGAAAAAAATTGGAAATAAGAAATAAGCATAGTCACATGTAAAATGAACTGTTTAAAAAACATTTTTTAAGTAATTTTTTATTTTATAGTTTTACTTTAAAGGTTTATTAAACAATAAAATCAATAAAAATTTAATTCTTTGTTTAGACAATAATGAACAGCTACAAATACTGAATATAAAAATTTGTGACTCTTTTTCGCTTAACGTTAATTGTTTTTTCATTTTAGGTCTATTCTGTTATTGCCTAATTTCTTTTATAAGAAATTTTATAAATATTTTTGAAATTTACATCACTACTATCAATGTTTCCAGCAACATTGTTTTTCCCTTTATCTTTTCCTCGTATAATACTTTCCTTTAAAAATGTATTTTAATACAATTATGTGTATTTAGGAAAGAAACAATGTTTCAGACTAAAATTCTTGTTTATTTTACAATTTTACTATTTATGTTTTTCAAATATTTTTTATTAAGGTATTTTTCAGGTTATCAAAATTTGGGTGCAAGAGATAATAAAACTGACAAAAAACGCAAACATTTAACACTTTTACAAGACATTTCTAAAAAATTTTCTTATTTTACACCTTACCATCTACTATTGTAAAACTATTGTCTTTTTGTGGTAAAAGCTATACAAAAGCCACCAAGTCGTCAAACGCTGGAGTGATCGATCACTTTAACTGAGATCTAACACCTGTGGCCGATCCAGTGTTCTGTTCTTTGCTATTTTACATTTCATTATACTGACTTTAAGAATAGAATAATTTTTAAACTGTAAAATGTTATGAAGACGAATAAAACTAATCATCTTCAATAAATAAAAAGTAAAATGTCGTTGATTTCTGTTCTTCACGATATTTTTGAACTTAACACACTAGTTAAATTATCAGGGTCCACTCGAAAACTAAATTTTTAAAAGTGATTCTACAAAAGCAATTTCAAAAAACGATTTATTGTTAAAATCGTTTGCTTCGAAATACAGTTCAGAAAATAAGACGCATTAAGAGACTCCTTTTGTGGAATGGAATATTAGGTAATTCGTAAACTGTATTTTAATTAGAAAAAAAAATCAAACTAAGAAAAAGAGATTGTGGCATTTTTATTTCAAATTAAAATTGCATATATAAATACTACATTTTTCAAGTGCGGTGGCAAGTCAACGAACCATATGTTCGATTCGAAATTAATTCTAAAAAAACTGATCTTTCCGAATGTTGGCAGAATTCCACCGAGATGGAATTGAGAAGAAGCTATTCATTCGGCCCAAATGAATTCGGTGTCTCTGTGGGATGGAGAGACTAAATTAAAAGCATAACCATTTCACACTGCACACTCGGGGAAAAGGGGGGAGGGAAGGAAAGAAAAACATGATTAGAACAAGAGGGCTGATTATGTTACCCGCAGTTGTTCCCCCCAAATATCGAGTAAAGGAATTCTATGATAGGGTGTAAGGACAATTTTCCATCTTCCTTGTATTGGATGGAAACGTCTTTGGAGAGGGGGCTGCTATTACGTAATGGAGTTTTCTGTTTCGTACGTGCTGCTTTTTGTTTGGTAAGAAGAGCAGTAATAGCTGTTGCGTTCTTTATTGAAGAATTAAAAATATAGTGCCAATTACATGTCACTGAATAAAGATATACTTTTCGATAAAAATTTATTGTCCACATTATCATTATTGTATTTTACAACTGACCCATTTTTGAGTTTTCGACTATCAATGTTCAACTCCGTAGCCCCCTAATTTTTGATCAATCCAGTAGACAAGAGAGTAAGTGGATCGATATTTGGGACAAACTAACTTTCGTGGAGGACTGTTTGATGGAACTAAACCGCATTTGAGTAACATGAAGAGGAAAAACGCGATAATCTCCCACGGTCAGCACGACCGTCAGGAAATTCTAACCAGCTTTCTGTCTACGTCAACATTAGAGTCGGTGCGAGCCTTGAACAGAATTCGTATAGACCAACCATCGCTTGGATTCGAACCCGTTACTGGCACTTTAACCCCTGAGGCACCGCGGCTAATTTATTTTATATATATATATNATATTGTTAACGAGTTTTTTAAAACTTGTGCGCTCCTTTTATGCTACGCCTACGCTCGTTTGAAACTGGTTGCACGCAGAAAAAAAAGTTATTTAACTCCCCCCCTCCCAGTTTTTTTATACTGATTGACAGAACAGATTATTTTAGTTATTTCTCCGGCATTTGTACTCTCTATGCAAGAGATTTTTAAAACGTTTTAAAAAGTTATGAAAAGCAAACAACTGGATTTTAAAAAAAAATTGCGTTACATTATAAAGATTAGGCTTGATCTTAAAAAATGCACAAGCAAAAAATGGAAATAATTTCCGAAAAAGACTCGAGATTAGATTTTTTTTTAAATAAAAAACTTCCTTTCTATAAAGCGCGTTTAAAGCCATTTCTGCATTGTGTTCTGTAGTTTTACGTTACATCTTTACAATGACTTCGAATATTTTTTGAATAAAAACATTTCAGTAAAATATCTTGAGGGAAAAAAAGGATTTGAATTTATGCAACAGATCCAAAGGGTTTTCATATCATAAGAGAAGTTTCCAAAAGGTATTCAGATAGACCTTAAGACAGTGGTTCCGAATTTTTGTCGACTATCTAAACTTGAACCATCTAGTTTACGTAGCATTGGCAAAGCCTTGCTTCATTTTTCAAAAAAAAAATATATATAGATAAATAAATAATGGGTTGTTGAATTCACTTCCAAGCATCGGCTTCCAGTTTAACAGCAATTTTTGGAGAATGAATAAGTTGAAATTGAATGTAATAAGCTGATCAACTATGATTTTTTTTAAATAAACTACTTTGAACTGTAAAAATAGTTAACAGAAAAAATTAATTTCTCATTCTTGAATTT